ACCACACCCCTATTGATCCCCTGTCTAATCAGGCTGTTTTCCCTCTCCATCCTTCTCCTGGCTTCAGCCCCCATCCACCTCAGCAGCCAGGGCCAACACCACTGACCTGGTTACCTCTTCCCTTCCGTCCGACCTCGATCCCAGCTCCAATTGAGCATCTTCCCCATTCCGTTTCTTGCCCTGGGTAACTGGGTTTACCCACACCGATTTCTGCAAATGAGCACTATGGCAAGGCAGCAGGTTGTCATTGAGACGGTACCCGGATTCCTTTGTTGTCAATCCCGGACCGTAATACTCCTCTCCAGGCGGTGACGGATATCCACACTTCTACCCTGTGTGGCCAAAACGACCATAATGGAAGCAATAGAGCGGCAGATGCTCGTACACCAAGGTAAACCAGAATTTCCCAACGCTCGGATTGCTCGCAAAAAGCTGCGATCGGAGTGGCACCTGGATATGAAGATTCATTCTGACTTTAACAAAGCGCTCAGGCATCCCTCGAATAACGAAGAGGCCCGCATCCAGAACCTCCCCCAGCTTAGCCTACGCCATTCTACGACCGAATGCAATGGTTCTACAGTGGGAAGGGATGCCCCACATTTGCACCCAGAATGGCGCTCTCCCTAACGATTCCACCACAGCCGGTGTCACCGGCTCCCAAGGCTGCAACTGGAGAATTCGATCTTTGATGTGCCAGGGGGTGCGTTGGAGTACCCAGGCGCGGTCTTTCTCATCATCAAACAAGAAATATAAGAGCCCCAACTCCGCCTCAATCACTGTGTCCTTTCTAGAGCAAGACCACTCACTGAAGACAATGCGCTGGATGGTCTTCAAACTTGGAGGATTTTCCAGAAACCATCATCCGATCAGGCTTAGCTGTGCCCTCTTCATACTTTCCTCCACATCTTCCAGCTCGAACTCCACAATCTGGTCAGCATCAATAGGTTCACCCGCCATGTTCCTTTTCTTATCAAATGCCTGGAAATGCTGGGGAAAATCCGAAACATAGATAAGAACATGAGGGTACAGATATGGGGAGCGAGCTAGAGGATATACAAACGATAAACAACCATCTCTATCATATTGAGATTACCTCTCTGTTTTGATATTCCCAGCTCGTCTGGTATTCTAGCCTGATTCTCAGCTTTGAGGTGAAACTCAGTGTGAGGATCGAGGCTCTGATTCGTGGTAATATATACCAACTTCGGTGCTAAGCTATTCACCGTATCCATAACCGATTCTTCTTTTGAGTTTATCTCCTTTTTTTTCCTTGAGATTTTATCCCATCTTCGAATCTGGGTGTATTTCCAGAGTTTTCCTTCAGTTGCCGATATTTCCCAATCGCGAGAAAATCTCGCATCTTCCTCTTCGACGTTTCCTCGCCCAATCGAAGATCCAGCTTCCGTGTTAGCATCCCCCCACAAGCTGAATCCTTTTCCCCAATTCGACGGCCAACAACGAGAAGCCGTACTCATCCTGGTCTCTACCATAGAGATCGCAGCGATGAGAAGAAAGGCGTAGCGGCGGAGAAAGCGATAGAGTTTTTCGAGGAGAGAGGGCAGAGCTTCGCTCTGCATTTTTTTTTCACAAATTGTTTTTTTCTTTACTGAAGATATATGTTTTTTTTTTTGTAAAAATGAATATATATGTTAGTTTGCTTGCCAAAAGACGGTCTTTTATATCTTTTTTTTTATTTCTTTTTCAATTTAATTATATATTTCGGATTTTTGGTTGATGAGGATGGCCTTCAATAGTGGGGAGGGGGATCAGACCAAGTCAGTAACCTTATGGTGAGTAACCATGAGTAACCTGTCCACATGAGCATCCCTCTCTCTTGGAAATCCTTTTTATCTTTTCCTCTTTAATCTTTAACGAACGATTTCTCTCTCGTTTTAAGTCAAAATTAAAACAATTCCACAGATAAATCAGATTAAATATGCTTTTTAAAATGATAACCACTTTGATATATTTTTAGTACAAAAAAATTGAGTCATTTTTTTACCAGTGATTACCATATGGTATCATACCATATGGTAAGAAAGCGTACCATAATGGTATGAACTACCAATACGGTTAGAAGGTTGAATACATGATAGTAGGAGTATACTAACTATCATTTATGACTTTCATCATTGTTTACTACAAGTTACCACCCACATACCATTCTGGTAAAGTATGATAATTTTTTGTCCAAAATTTTTTTCACCTAGTAATTTGTAGATCCAATAGATCATGATGAACTCGTTCCTTCTGAGCAAACGTTTCAAAAATTACTTAAAAACGAAGAAGTTACCATATGCTATGTAGTTGGTAACGGGTGGTACGAAAAAAAAGTTTCTTGAAATATATTGAAAATTGATCTCATTTTGTAGAGCACAACAAACTCGTTCCATCTGTACAAAAAAAAAATTGAAATCCGGGTTAGAATGAAGAAGATAAGAGCCGACTAAGAAAACTAGGGAAAATAAAATGTCTTTAATTGACAACCCTTAGATCTGGATTTTCTGGGCCCACTTAGATCTAAAGGTCCAGATTTAGTTACTCATAGGTCAGTAACCAATGGTTACTGACCCTATCCTAAGCCGTGAGGAGGAGTCTTCTCTGATTTGGATAACCTAAGATAAGTTTTTGTGGGGTTCCAACTTCCAATTCCCACAATCTCTTCGCTGCTCTTTTCCAAAATTCTCATCGGCTCCTTATACTAAAAAATGGGTCAATACATTTCTATCAGCCAAACTTTTTACATATTAAATATTCTAACCAATCTTTTTGATATACAATTTCGTGGTCTCAATTATACATCAAAATTATGAAATTGGTCAAACCTGAAATTTGAACATTATCTTGAAAAGTCAAACGCGTTGATTAATGGTCAACACACCACGTCACTGCCAAATCAGCACAAACCACTTAAAAATTTTGATTTTTCAATAAGTAAATAGTGACATAGGGTTAATGAAGGGGACCCCACATTTTTAAATTTTTTTCCCTTTTTTTTTCTTTTGTTCAAAATAAAAAAGATAAATAATAGGTCGCAAAAATAAATTTGTTAAGTGGCCTGTGCTGACTTGATAGTGGCGTGGCTCGTTCCCCGTTAGGCAATGTGTTTGACCGTCCAAGATAACGGTCAAATCTCGGGTTTGGCTAATTTCATAAATTTGATGCATAATTGAGGTAACAGAGGAAAATAACATATTTTCATCTGCACCCAACATCGAGCCCAAGGTAGCAGGAAAACTGAAGCCCACTTATGTCGACGTTGTTTGATGACTCGATATTTGCACATGTTTTCCCGTTTGTTTCTTGATCGTTTGAGCTTTAATTATCGCGTCTTTGGCCTATTTTACGCTAGGTTGTGTTCCTTTGTCACATTCAGGTCCTAGCACATAAAGTGAAGCATAGGCGCAAGTTTCAAGTCAATCAGAGATCAATTGGCGATTAGGGAGAAGAAACTCGCGCATGACCTGAAGAAGAATGGATTTCTACCTCACTTTATGGACAAAGAATCATTCAAGCTTGTCATGAGAGGACGAGACTACGAGTGTCTGGGATCAAACGGCGACTGATTTGGAGTCCGGACGAGGGAGAAACGAAGCATTGAATATAGGGGAACAGGTTCGGCAGTAAAAACACGGGCGCGCCTAAAGAAAAACACGCTCGTGTCCATATTTAGGCACGACCGTGTTTTGGCCGACGAGGGCTGCTGAGGGAAAAACACGGGCGGGCAAAAGTAAAACACGGTCGTGTCCTCGAGCGTGTTTTGCCCAGAATCGAATTTTTTAGGCAGATTGAAGCCAAAGGAAAGGGGGAGCTGGGTTTTGGATCCCAAACACCCAAGGGACGAACCAAAGAGAGAGAGAGAGAGGGAGATTTGAGGGCATTCTAAGAGTGGAATTGGAGGATTTCTTCGCCTTGGAAGCTCGAGGAACAAGCCCGGACTTAAAGACTGATCATCTGAAGATTCTTACTGCAGTCTCTCTCTTCTCTATGGAGTAACTTCCCTTCACTTAGGTTTTGAGGAACCCTAGCTATGTTTGTTTGATTGGATGATTGTATGAGTACTCTGACTTGATAATCTTGAGTTCATATTCAATCTATGCATGTTTTCATGATTCAATTCTGCTTTAGTCGAGATTATTGATTCTGCTTTGATCCTATGAGAGCGAATACCTGATTAGGTCAAAAGAGCACCATAGATTGATAGTAGTGGATCGATTGCTTTAGTCGAGGGTTGATTCACTGCTTTGTATCGATTGAGAACCTCATTCGATAGAGGGAATCTAGTTTAGAACGCCTTGATCGGTTGTTCTAGAGAGGGATACGTCCCTCTAGGCAATTGACTCAAGAGGGCCTTGTTCTTTTAGTCGAGACTCAAGGTCTAGTCAAGGATTCTCCGCATTGTGAATGAAAGTGAAACAAGTTAGAAATAATCAATTATTAATCTGCTAGTGGCTAGGGGGAATCATACCTAAGTGAGTTCCCAACCTGTAATTAGATTAACTTTAACTGTAGTTTGCTAGAGTAGTTTTAGTTCTTCCTTATTAATCTGGTTTGCTAAATAATGAACTGAAGCTGAGTAATAGTAACTCTAGAGACCCGTGGATTCGATATTTATTACTTGAGCCACTATACTGCAGTCCCTTTCATTGGTTACACTTGGCCTTTGTTAGGAGTTGTGCCATAGCGAGTCAAGTTTTTGGCGCCGTTGCCGGGGACTTTCTAGATTATTAGGAAAGGCAGAAGTTTGTTACTTTAGCGTTTTTATTATCTTTTCCACCCTTGCTTTTCACTTGGGTGTTTTTTTGTTTTTGTTTCTGTTAGTGCAGATTTGAATCATGGATCCTCATGGCTTCTCCAACCAGTGGGGATATCCACCACCATCCGAGTGGTATTACCCCGAGACTTCCTGGAGCAATCAAGGAGGAGAGGACTATGGATTCGGGTTCCAGTACCAACCCCCTTACTACGGAGAACAACTGGACACCTGGGCATATCAAGAACAACCTCATTACCAAGAAGACTTTCTCCCACAACCAGAAGGGCCATCGGAGCTGGAGTTACCCATGGCGGCCTTCACGGGCCATTCTGCATAGCCATGCTACACTCCACAGCCAGTTCCAAACTATGAATTGAGGCTTCACGTGGAGCATTTTGCTCGGGACACTGAGAGATGCAATCGCAAGATGGACCTCCTTTTCTCATCTTTTGCTCCTCCTAACTCTTCATCCCTCCGTGAATCGGAGGAGACTGTTTTGCACTCATCAAAGCAGCCAGAGCGGGTTGAGCAAGTTTGTGCACAACTTGCTCAAGATCACCCGTCTGCTACCATAATAGAAGAGGAGGAGGAAGAAGAAGCCTACAAGGACATTGTGGAGCACACTGAAGTTGTCATGGAGAGCCCCCGTGATGATCATGATCAGGAATGTCCTGTCGTGGCCGACCACAACTTCTCACATCCCAAACTGAGCTTTGAAGAGGCGGGCATGAGTGAGGAGATGCAAGAAGATCTCATGAAAGAAATTGCTTGGCAACTTTCTCTCCAATCCGTGCTAGAAGAAGAAGAGCAAGAAAGGGTGCAGAAAAAAGTTGTGGAGGATGACGAAAGTGAAGCAGAAGGAGTTCTTGATCATTTCCCAGGGGGATATCACATGAAGAAGAAAGGGAGGTTGAAGAAGAAATTGGCGTCCAGGCTGAGGATGGAGTTAAGGTGGAAGAGCCCTGCACCGGCCATGAGTTACATGTGATATCTCCGCCAAACTTCGAGGAACTGCTTAGCAAGGACCAATTTGCAGTGTCTCTTTGCCAGACCAAGTCCACGTCGACATTGGTCCCTCTTGGTGGACGCGATGGTGGTAAATCTATGCTGTCATATCTAGTTTGGGGCAATGAGACGAGAGAAGAGAAGAAGAGGTCTCGAGGGTGGAGACGTTATCTGCATCAAGTGCACGAGCATCCATCACCTGTCATACCACATGCTCGTGACTTAAGACTCCACCTCATCGACGAGAACCTATACTTCAAGGATGTTTTGGGGTGGACCGAAACTTAGGAGCCATCGGCCGGCTCACGACATGAAAGAAGCGTTTGTTGGGAGGCAACCCAACCAGTCGGTTTGCATTTCTTTCTCTTTTTCTCCTCGGTTGAGTCAGTTTTGTTATTTGATTTTAGAGTCAATAACTCAACCTTTGTGATATTTTGTGTGGTGTTTGTGTTCCGACTACTCTCTCCTCCTTGAATGCACCGCCTGCCTCGTCCACCATCTTTCACCCTTGATCTGGTAACTTTGTTCTACCCTCCTTATCTTTCCTCCATTGAGGACAATGTCGTGCTTAAGTGTGGGGGGATGTTCGATTATGTATGCGGGTAAATGTTTAGCTGTTTGTGTGCTTGGAGCCTAGTCCACTGCCCAAATTTTAAATTTGAGGGCTGGAAGTACGTGTTTCCTTGCAAATTGCCTGCTCAGTATGCTTTGAATTGACAGTCTCTATAGTAATGTGCAACCTAGGGAGGTAGTGTAGCATTATGGAGGATGTTGAAGTATAAGATTTTTCCTATCTAGCTCTCTGTTGTGCCAGTTGATTTTGTGAATTAGTGGAGCTAAGACCGTTGAATTCATGTCGTAATGGTGACTCTATTTGGATTGTGTTATGGACTCGTGTATCGAACAGGGTGCTCATGTGAAAAATGAAATGTAGTTGGTCCTCCATGTCAAAATCATTAAATCTTAAACATGGGGTAAGCCCAACGTGTGTGGCACCGTTCATTGCACAAAATCGGGTTTTGGAAGATATTTTAGTGATCCTTAGTGGGGTACTCCTACAAGGTGAAGCTAAGCTGTCTCTAGTACAAGTAAAACTTCCACCCGTTGAATGGTTTGCCTACTTGAGGATGTGTTTTTAAGGGCAAGGATAGAGCTTCCGACCCCCCTTAATTTCATTGACCCTCCACACGAGTTGAGGAAAAGGAGTTAAAAGAAGTACTCTGGAAAGCGCCAGATGTACAGAAATTGCTCTTGCTCGACTAATAAGGGTCGACCGTGCAAAAGACTGCAGTTGGAACCCCCGCTAAGTGAATGAGAAAGAAAAAAAAGTAAAATGAAAGTGAAAAAGGGGTTCCAACGGTGAAATGAAGTGAAAGAGCACCCCAGTACAACGAGTCCTTGGTTGTGAATGGTGTGAGTCCCTTTATCCATGAACTGACTGTCTTACTTCTACTTCTTCTCATGATCCTGGCTTGAGTCTAGTACTCGCATTGAGAGAGATAGGGAACGTCTAAGAAGACCAGTTGACCTCGTAAGCTGCTATATGATCTAGGAAATCCTCTACCGACGATCGGGGTTGTATGTTGCTATAGAGGTCTGGAGAGTTGCACTGGTTTGAGTTAGGTTTGCTTGAGGACAAGCAAACGGTTAAGTGTGGGGGATTTGATGACTCGATATTTGCACATGCTTTCCCCTTTGTTTCTTGATCGTTTGAGCTTTAATTATCGTGTCTTTGGCCTATATTATGCTAGGTTGTGTTCCTTTGCCACATTTCAGGTCCTAGCACATAAAGTGAAGCATAGGCGCAAGTTTCAAGTCAATCAGAGATCAATTGGCGATTAGGGAGAAGAAACTCGGGCATGACCTGAAGAAGAATGGATTTCTACCTCACTTTATGGACAAATAATCATTCAAGCTTGTCATCAAAAGAAATAGGACAAGACTACAAGCGCCTGGGATCAAACGGTGACTGATTCGGAGTCCGGACGAGGGAGAAACGAAGCATTGAATATAGGGCAATAGGTTCGGTAGTAAAAAAACGGGCGCGCCTAAAGAAAAACACGGTCGTGTCCATATTTAGGCACGACAGTGTTTTGGCCGACGAGGGCTGCTGGGGGCAAAACACGGGCTGTCAAAAGTAAAACACGGCCGTGTCCTCGAGCGTGTTTTGCCCAGAATCGGGTTTTTTAGGCAGATTGAAGCCAAAGGAAAGCTCGAGGAACAAGCCCGGACTTGAAGACTGATCATCTGAAGATTCTTACTGCAGTCTCTCTCTTCTCTATGGAGTAACTTCCCTTCACTTAGGTTTTGAGGAACCCTAGCTATGTTTGTTTGATTGGATGATTGTATGAGTACTCTGACTTGATAATCTTGAGTTCATATTCAATCTATGCATGTTTTCATGATTCAATTCTGCTTTAGTCGAGATTATTGATTTTGCTTTGATCCTATGAGAGCGAATACCTGATTAGGTCAATAGAGCACCATAGATTGATAGTAGTGGATCGATTGCTTTAGTCGAGGGTTGATTCACTGCTTTGTATCGATTGAGAACCTCATTCGATAGAGGTAATCTAGTTCAGAATGCCTTGATCGGTTGTTCTAGAGAAGGATACGTCCCTCTAGGAAATTGATTCAAGAGGGCCTTGTTCCTTTAGTCGAGACTCAAGGTCTAGTCAAGGATACTCCGCATTGTGAATGAAAGTGAAACAAGTTAGAAATCATCAATTATTAATCTGGCTAGTGGCTAGGGGGAATCATACCTAAGTGAGTTCCCAACCTGTAATTAGATTAACTTTAACTGTAGTTTGCTAGAGTAGTTTTAGTTCTTCCTTATTAATCTGGTTTGCTAAATAATGAACTGAAGCTGAGTAATAGTAACTCTAGAGACCCGTGGATTCGATATTTATTACTTGAGCCACTATACTGCAGTCCCTTTCATTGGTTACACTTGGCCTTTGTTAGGAGTTGTGCCATAGCGAGTCATTGTCGTTTTGTCACTTTCTTCTACAGCTACAGGAGGTCACGTGTCGCTCGTCTAGTCGATGATAATCCACCAATAGGATTTGTCTGTTTGTAACGGTCTAATAGCGACCAATTTTACCTTTTTTAATCCTTTCTCTGCAAGGTTTTTACCTATTATTCTTGGACTGTAATATCAGTATATATATCAATGGGAAGAGAAGAAAGAAGTAAAGTTGTCTCTCCAAAAGCCCTAATTCGAAATTTGTTGTTATGGTATCAGAGCATGGTTAGGGTTTCCTAACCTTTCATTCTTCTTCCTTCTTCATTTTCTTCTTTCCTTCTGAACTTGATCAAGCATGGCAAACAACATTGTCTCAACCGGAGAAAATGCTACTCCTGGTGGTTCTGGTAACACCACCAGATAACCCACAGTGTATCCACTCTCAGACCCGTTCTATTTACATGGATCGGAACAACCAAGGTAAGTCCTAGTTCCCCAAAAGCCCACACCAGCCAACTACAACGACTGGAGTGTAGCAATGATCAACGCATTTGCTTCAAAGAACAAGCTGGGATTCATCGCTAGAAGCATCCCTAAGCCACAGGCTGGAGATGCGATGAACTGGCCTTGGACAAGCGGCAACACAATGGTCAAAAGCAGGATATTACAGTATGTTGATGAAGTTATTGGCAAGAGTGATAGAAGCATTCAATCCGCAACAGAAGTGTGGAAAACTCTCAAGCAAAGGTATACCTAGGGAGATCTTATTCGAATAGTAGAGTTGCTAGAACAGTTATGTAGTTTCAAGCAGGGAAGCAGAATCCTACCTGAGTATCATACCCCTTTAATTACGATTTGGGAAGAGCTCAAGAATTACCAAACCATACCTCTATGCAATTGCACACCTACTAGTCATTTGATTGTAAAGCTATCAATACTATTATATCATTCCAGGACACGAACCTCATAGTTTATTTCCTTAGAGGCTTGAATCAGAATTATGCCATCCCTAGATCTCAGGTTCTGTTCTCTGGCCCATTACCAACCATGGATCAAATCTTTTATAAGATGGCATAATTCTGATTCAGGAAAAATGGTGGAGTCCATAACAATGGCTTTAAAATCCCTAGGACTGAAGATGCCAACACAGCCCATAACCGAATGGACTAACTACTTTGTCAATTTCAATCGACGCAAAGATAGATCAGGAAATCCTAGACCCTTTTGCACATATTGTAAAGATCAAGGACATATAGAGGAAACTTGTTACCACAAGCACGGATGGCCACAAGGAATGACTCCAAGGGCTGGTCGAGGTTCAAACAGTTCAGGATATATACAAGCTAATGCAGATTTTGGGGAAAAGCAGGGAAATGATGTAATGACACTACCAAGAGATCGATATGATGCATTGATGAAGTTGTTGAAGACTAATGAGGGTAATAGCTATAATCATGATGGACAACAGACCAATCCTACCCACTCAACAACAACTTTCACTAGTTAGAATTATAGTGGTTCAAGCAAGTACACACTGTTTGCATTTCCTAACATGGCTTATGATAATCAAGGAACATTGATTCTTGACACAGGGGCGACATATCATGTGATCTGTTACTTTAAGCTTTTCACCAGCAATGTAAAGGATGCCAAAGTACGCATCACTTTACCAATAGGGAATAGTGTTGAAGCTACTCATTCAGGCTGTGTAAAATTCACAGAAACCTTGATTTTGGAAGATGTTCTCTTTGTTCTTGAGTTTAGCTTTAATTTTGTATCAGTATTTTTTTTTTTTTGCCATTAGATCACTCGTGTTACCGAGAAATAAGAGATACAAAAGTCTTACAAATCAAAGTGACCGAAGCCACGCAACAAAATCGAAACCCACCAACAACGGTGGCCTCAATGAAAGGGCTTTTCTTGCCACAAGATGGGCAACCTTGTTCCTAATCCGACCCACAAACACACAATCAAAATACTGAAAGGAGGACCGTAACCCCTGAATCTCTTGAAGCAAAGCTCCACCAAGAGCATCATGCACCTCCCCAGCCTTCACTTTCTGCAAAACTGTTTGTGCATCACCCATAAAAGTCACCGAAAACCAACTTCTGTCCGAACACCAACGGATTGCATCTCGCAAAGCCAACAATTCCACCAGAGCTGGATCTTGAAGCCCTGGGTATCGCCGAGCAGCACTAGCTAGTAAGGCACCCGAAGCATCCTGAATAACCCATCCTCCCGCCCCATGCGATCCCTGTTTCACTGCACCATCAACAAAACAAGATAAAGAGCCAGAAACATGGCTTGTCTGAGGCACTAAAGGTGCCGGAACCACCATCCGCTGCTCACTCTCCCTTGGATTGTCAATCCACTCAGAAACCTGCAAGGAAAATTGAAAAGCAAGAGAAACAGGCTGGTACTGAACGAAATCAAACACCACCCCATTACGCGACTTCCAAATTCCAAAAGAGAGCCACTATCTGCATAATCTCAGTAGGGCCTACAACTGGCTTCTCCAAAAACCGGCGCCAAAACATCACTATACTCCTTGTCGGCATCCCATCCTTCCAGTCTTGCAAACCCGTTATCCGCCACAGAGTATCCGCCACCGGACACCGGAAAAATAAATGCTCGACTGTTTCTTCCTCCTCCCCTACGCAAACCGGACACGCCCACCCATCCCCGATCCCCCTTAACTGGAGTGCCTCCCTCGTTGGAAGCACTCGTCTTAGCATTTGCCAGAAAAAAAAACCTAAGTTTGGGAGGGATGGGTAGACCCCAGATCTTACGCCATAAACCTTTATCAAACAGAGAACAAGAATCCTTCCAAGAACGCCGCCTCGGATGCATAGACAGTCTTGCTAAATGATAACCGGACTTGACGGAATACTTACCATCAGACCCAAAATGCCACACCAGCCGATCCTCCATTGGAGCACAAGATAAAGGGATAGCAACAATTGCCTCCACAGATTCTGCAGAAAACAACTGATTCAACCGATCCATCCGCCAAGCGCCCTGCTCATGGTAAATCAACGACGCCACCATTTCCTGCTGCCCAACAACACCTGAAGCCACCTCGGGAAAGTGCGGGTGAAGACTCGGGACCCAAGACTCCCCAGCCAAAGGAATAGAGTGACCCGAACCCACTTGCCAACACAGGCCCTTCAAAAGCAACTCACGGCAAAACAAAGTACTCCTCCAGCCCCACGAAGGTAGCGAGCCCTCACGAGCAGTCAAGAAGGTTGACCGTGGGAAGTATTTCCCTTTATAGATACGGGCCAGAAGGGAGTTCGGATCCTGTAAAATTCTCCAACCTATCTTAGCCAGAAGGGCTTGATTGAAAGCCTGAAAACCACGAAACCCCAACCCCCCGTCCTCTTTCTTAAGACATAACGTCCGCCAGGCCACCCAGTGAACTCGTCTCTCCTGACCATTAGCTCCCCACCAGAACCAAGCCAAGTGCCTATCTAAATCCCGACAAGTGTAAACCGGTAAGCGAAAACAGGACATGACATGAACAGGAAAAGCACTCGCCACCGCCTTAAGCAAAACTTCCTTCCCTGTCCAGGATAAACATCGTTGTTTCCACCCTTGAAGACGCTGCATAACTCGTTCTTCCACGAAGCGAAAATTTTTCACTTTTGATCGATGCAACAAAGATGGCAATCCTAGGTACATATCCGTGACACCCACTGCACCAACTCCAAGCAGACCTGCCATCCGCACTTGATCCTGCTCCAACACATTTTTACTAAACACAACAGCCAATTTTTGCAGATTAACCTTCTGACCACTGAGCCGTTCATAATCCCTCAAAACTCCCAATAGGGTCGCACATTCTGGCTCCGACGCTCGCAGAAACAGATACGAGTCGTCCGCAAAGAATAAATGAGAAACCACCGGACACTGCCAACTCACTCGGACCCCTGTTAACTCTTTCTCTTCCAACCTTTGCCGTAGCAAAACTTCAAAGCCTTCAGTACATAATGCAAACAGGAGAGGCGATAAAGGGTCACCCTGACGCAAGCCCCGAGAAGCCGGAAAAAAACCCGAAGGGAGGCCATTCATCATTACAGAGAAAGTCGGCGTTGTCACACAGGCACGAATCCAGCGTATCCACTGACTATGAAACCCAAACTTTTCCATAAGAGCAAACAAAAAAGGCCACTCAACCCGGTCATAAGCCTTCTCCATATCCAATTTCAGAGCCATGAACCCCTGCTTACCATTGCGTTTATGAGAAAGATAATGCATCACCTCATGACTGACCAGAACGTTCTCCACAATTTGCCTATCACGCACAAAACCATTTTGCCCTGGGGAGATGATTTGAGGCAAGAAACGCCCTAGCCTTTCAGCTAAAATCTTTGTTATCACCTTATAAACAAATTGTCAAAGGCTAATCGGACGTAACTGTCTCATATGCTCCACCTTATCAACCTTCGGAATAAGAGATAACCAAGTATGATTTAAATTTTTTAGCATAACCCCTGATCGACAGAAATCCCCCACCGCCAGGGTCACATCATTACCAACAATCGACCAAAAGGATCGAAAGAAAGCCCCAGTAAACCCATCCGATCCCGGAGCCTGAGTCGCTCCAATCCGAAAAACAGTACGACGAATTTCCTCCGGAGAGACAGGGGCGATAAGCCTAGCATTCATCCTACCGGTTACTTTGGACGCCAAAGGAAGCCCTGCTACCCTAGATTTGACCCACTCCACATCCGCGCATTCCGATGTGAAGAGGGAGGAATAAAAATCCATGGCTACCCTCCCCTTTTCTTCTTCTGAGGTAACCCATGAACCATCCGGATCAAATAAACCAGCAATATGATTCCTCCTACGTCTCATACGCGTGACCGTATGAAAATAATTCGTATTCTGATCACCTCCATGAAGCCATTGCACTCTCGATTTCTGCCGCCAAAACGTCTCTTTAGCTCGCCACGCATCCCCAAGCTCTCTTTCCAAGCTCCTTATACGCTCCCAGTCCACCACTGCTTCGGCCCGGAGATGATCAATCTCACGCCGGAGAGAGCGAATCATCCGCTCAGAGTTAGTTACCCCCGACCGCCCCCATTTGAACAGGAGATGACGAAGCAACTTAAGTTTATTCCAAAGCCGAAACATGGGTGAACCATCCACGTGTTGAGCCCAGACTACCTCCACCATCGCCCTGGCCTCAGGATTTTTAGCCCAACGTGAGTCAAAACGAAACAAAGGCCTACACCGCAGAGCCACAGCCTCAGTCGAGACCAAGATCGCACGATGATCAGAACCACGATCAGACAAGTGATGAACCAAAGTAGTTGGAAACAAATCCAAACAGCTATGAGAAACCAGAGCCCGATCTAAACGTTCCTGAACCACATTAGAGGGGATCCTGCGGTTCGTCCAAGTAAAAGCCGGACCAACAAAGTCCACATCATGCAAAGCAAGATCATCAATAAATTCCCTGAACCGACGTGACTGGGACGGCCGCCATTCATTCCCACCTTGCTTATCAGCCAAGCAAAGAATATTATTAAAGTCCCCAACAACAATGAACAGTCCATTTAAATGCAAACAATGCTCTTCCAAGGCCACCAATTGATTAATTCTTACTGCCTCCATGCAGCTTAAGTACACACACACACCACAAAATACTCCAAATCATCTTTATTAATTTTGGCAATAATAAAAAAGGACTCTTTACTTAAAACCGTGACCTCAGTCCCGGGGAACCATCCTAAGGCAAGACCTCCTGCCGACTCAATCGCATCCACTAAAACAAAATAAACAAAGCCTAAACCCCTCAAACAATTAGAAACAGTCCGACGTTGAGAGAGAGTTTCCGACAAAAACACAATATCTGGAACAAAACGATTATTCAAACCTACTAGACTCTGAATTGTCTCGGGCGGTCCCAACCCGCGACAATTCCACGACAATATCTTCATTTATCGGGGTGGAGCCACTCCCGGCTGGCTTCCTCCACCGACTTTGGATCCGTTTCCTCGTCAGACACACACAAGCGCTTGGGAGGACCAGAAGGATCCTCCCCATCTTCCATAACCTCATCCACAGGCCGTTTCCTCTCGAACAGCATTTCTTCCAACTCACCCAGTGCCCTCTGAAACCCCGGCTTGGGCCGAGGGGGAGTGACACGAGGACTCCCGCCAGCTTCATTGATCACAATACCCGCTGCCCGCGAACGACGACGAGGCTGCTTCGGAGAAGACCCCTCCGCCAGCACACCTTTCCCTTTCTCAGCAGCTGTCAACCTCCCTGGCAGGTCAGGCGCTTTCTCCACCGGTGCACTTGGCCGATAGGAAGACACATTACCAGCCACCTCAACTGAGATAGCAGCTTGTCGCGGGGGGATCCCCGTCTCTAGGTAGTCCTCCAAGCGTAAACGAGGCGAGGACCGGCCTTGGAGGAAAGTCTCCACACCTACAAAATCAGAATCAACAGCATGATTTTCATTAGTACTCCCAGCAGCTGGTAAGTTAGGCCTCCGTTGCTCCTGAGAAGGTTGAGGACCAGGCCTAGGAATGCCAGACGCTGGTGGTCTAGGGGGAGGCACCCTTGGCTGATCCACCATCTGCACATCACCAGCAGCTGTGAGCCTAGCTCCACCCGAGCTCGATCCTGCTCCTCCAGCATTGGGGTTCACCCAAACAGCCCGCACCGGTAGCAATGTCTGCTCATCAAGGCGATGACTAGCAGGCTCCACCAACAGAGAGGCCCCATAAGACTCATTACCCTGGAATCGAGCAGCCTCACATTGACGTTCAGCATGACCAACCCTTCCACAATTATAGCAAAAGAGTGGGAGACGTTCATAATTAAGATTGATCCAAAAGCCTCCATGAATTTGATTGCTAGCATATAACCTGGTTCGCAAAGGAGCCTCCAGGTCAACAAGGACCTTTGCTTTGAAGAAGAAACCAGGGTCTCCACGAACTCCAAACAGTCCAGCCTCCAACACCTCACCAACGCGCCCTGCCATCCTTCTTCCAAAGTGCATTGTCCTGCAGTGGGATGGAATGTCCCGCATTTGGATCCAGAACGGGACAAACGTCAAAGAACGAACCACCTCAGGAGTAACCGGACGCCATTCAGCCAAGTGAAGAACATGATCCTTGATTATCCAGGGGGATCGTAGCAGAATCCTCTCTTTGTCACCAGCATCCGAAAAGAGGAATTGAAGGAGACCACGATCAGCTTCCAGCACTGTCACTGGGGCTTGGCACCGCCAAAGGCCATTGATGATTCGTTGGAACACCACACGATTCGGGGTAGCTTCACTGAAGAATCGACCCAGCAGGCTAAGACGCACCCGTTCCAGGCTCTCTTCAACATCATCATCGTCAAATATCACCACCTGGTCCACATCCATGGGATCCATGATAGCAAGGGAGCTCTTGACAAACTGAAGAATCTGAAACATAGTGATAACAAGCAAACACAGAGCCAAAACCCAGATCAGGCTCAAATTAAGGGTTACAAAATAGGGTCTCAACATGGCCCAGTCACATGCACACAAAAGAGTAGAACAGAGAGCAACAAACGCACCCAAAAGAAGATGCAGTAGATGAATCCGAGCAAACGAGTAAGAGGAGAAGCCATTCCAGCCCAGCTCTCGGTGATTTATAACAAACATCTGAAATCCCAATTGCCACAGGGGGGATAAGGCTGCCGACTCACTCGTTTCCGTTCGGATCCTTCCCAAATCCACCGATTCAAATCCCAACAAGATACGGGGATCGAATGAAACCACACGGCACTAAACAAAAGCAGGGTGAAAACCCTCCTCCGTACAATCCAACGGTGAATCCATGCCACTCTTGTTCGCAGAAACGAAATAGAGAAGGATAAGGACCAATAGATCCCCACCAACAGAAATCCGATCTGAAAGCAGATCGCACAAGATCGCCAGAATATTGACACAGTTAACCCAAATCCGGGTGCAAGATCAACAATCGAGATGAAGCTAAAAGCAAGAAGAAGCCCTAGAAATGACGAAGGAAGGCGAGCGGTGGGCGGCCGTTCAGAATCCCTGGAGAAGGCGAGAGGAACTCTCTCGCGTTTTTTTTTTTTTTTGTTTCATTTACTCAATCACACTTTAATTATGTTCCTTTCTTTTAGGGGTGCAACACGAGGACTTCCCAAGAGGTCACCTTACTCAGAGAAATCAACTGAGCTTGATGTTTTCTTATTCCTTTTTTATTACAGGACATATCGAGGATGCAAAGGATCGATTCTGCTGAGCTCCATCATGGTCTCTACAAACTGAATAGAAGTTATGTTAGTAGTCCTTCAGGTGTTGTTGCCTCAAGCACAACGCAAACGTACAATCTATGGCATTATAGGTTAGGCCATGTTTCTCAATCTAGAATACCTAACCTGTAGAAACTGAATTCTAGTATAGATATGGTTGAAAATCATAGTTGTGATGTATGCCACTTTACCTTTCCCTGTCAATAATTAATAATTAACAATGTCAATAATAATAATAATGAATTCTATATATATATTTAATTTTATACATTATTAATTATTCATTATTATTATTGACATTGTGCTAATTTTATATTTGATAAATATTTGTGTATGATTTTGTTAAAGAACGTAATATTCAAGTGAACTTCACTTCAGGTTTTAATCTCTTAATTTTATTAAAAATACATAATTTCAAGAGAATTTCATATTTTGAACTTCACTTTATAAAATGAAAAAAATGACTTTACGTTGGTTTAGAAACAAAAAATTTATCTTGAAAGATTATGTATTACATGATGTAATAATTATTCAAGTCAATCATGTGGGGTTTGAGTTGGGTGGGTCACCGGTTAGTCGAGTTCGGGTCAATCGAATTGCGGGTTTAATCAGGTTGTGAATTAATCGGACTCGGGTTAATCGGGTTGCATGTCATTCTGGTTGCGAGTCAATCAGGTTGCGAGTTGGGAAGTTTACGAGTCATTGACTTTTAGTCAAGTTGGATTGTGGGTCGGGTTAGTTACTCGTGTCGGATTTTGTTTTGATACCTCTAAAGAAAACAATCACTTTGAGCGCCCTCTCCATAATCAATCTTCTTACTTTCATATGGTACTAGCACAAGGCCCGACTGAGAGTTTGATGGCTATATATGTCATTCACACTAAGCATATAGGCTCAAATTAAGTTCAAACATTTAAGGAATAAATACCAAGCATATAAAAGTTGGTACTTGAAACAAATGAACTACTCACCTTAATAATAGCTCATCTACTTATCTTACTGGTGACTTCCAAGACAATTTTTTATCATGTTGTCGAATTTGTAGGAGCACTACCAATTCAATGGTTTCACTAAGTGGTGAATTGATTAATTTGTCAAGCCTGACTGCATTTCTGCGGTGTAGGACATATTTTTAGGCCAAAATTAATATGTTTTTACTCCATGATGGGGAAGAGAGTTAGACCCATCAAAGCAACCTTGAGATAATCTTCAGATTAGCCTACAACCACTCCAATCTCGATTACTTCTCACTAAACACGGTCATAGCCATAACTTCCTCGACGATTTTGGATGCTAAAAACATGTTATGGGCCAATTTCATTTTTGCCCTAGTAATAGTCTTCTTTTGCGTTCAACCGCCGAAGGAAAAAGAGGAACCCCAGTCTCGTCGGAACATAGGGCGGCAAAGCTAACCTACTCTTTTTTTTTAGATAAGGGTGATATCGATTACTATTTTGTTATTCTTAGGTACTATTGAAGGGATTCAAACCTGAGACATTCAGAATCAAGGCTAGTGGTATTACCACTAGACCAATCCCTTGTTCGTTCACCTGCTCTTTATCTCGCGGACTAGGAGAGAGATATAAGACATCAAGCATGGAGATGGCATCTGCGATGATGAACAGGGAGATGGGATCTCTTGGCTCTTCATCTCGCGACAGGGGCGAGTCTTGCATTGACAACCTAGAGAGGAAATGCCCGCTCACTTTAATCTAGAAACCCTGAACAGAACCGCTCCCAAAATAAATAAATAAATAAACCCAGAACAGAGCGATGGTGATGAATCGGAGACGGGTTCGATTGAGGTCATCAAAGTCAGATACGGGGGCGGCAAGGGTGGATTCAGGCCATCGGGAATAATAGTTACCTGAGATAGAGATTGCTCAGTGGTCACCAAACCACAAGAGCTTTTTTCACTGCGAAGCATCATTCAGCCAGCCACCCAAGCCGCCGCACCTCGCCTCCCCAACTCCTTCCATTAATTTAATGGAATGAAAACGAAGACCAAAATACTGCAACTGGGTACTATAAGCGTCATTTATTTGAACTCTGAAATCACAATCAAAATACAGAGGCATGCATACAGCTTCACATTCCAGAGCGTGTCGAACAAAATTGCGATTCCAGTGGCGGCTGTTGTGACTCTGGTATTGTTCAGACAAAAACAGATGCAGGTTGCTTTACATGCTTCCCAAAATTACCATAAATAAATAGACTGCCTATCTTCATCTAGTAACTACAGCCCTTTTCTCCCGTATGAGATCACTGCACCAGTAGTAAACACAGGATGGTGAGGTTATTTTTGAAGGAAAGAGGTGACTTGCACAGGAGCTCTCTTCTCAATGTGGCAGTGGCACTCCTCTGGTCTTTGCATGGCCGGATTCTGCACTCTGAAATCATGTCCAATGTGGATGTTCTTTCCATCCGTCCTTCTGCAGATGTTGCCTTGAGTGGACAGCCAGTGAAAATCATTGATCAATTTGTCCCTCCTTACGTTGTGCTTGTCAGAAGCTCTGTTCTTGTTCCGGTACTCGTCTTGGAGTTCGTGTAAATGTTTTGGTTGAGCTTGGGATCGTCTCCTCTGGATCTTGTTTCAGCAAGTGAGAGTGGCAAGTTACTTAAACTAATGACGTTTTGGTTTTCGGCCCCATCTGAAGTCGCTGATAGGAAGCGCTTAAGCTGAGCTCGCTGACAGGTGATTCGACCTTTATTCCAGCTTGGGTGGGAGAATGCTGATGATTCATTCTCTTCCAGATATGAATATACTGCTTTCGCAAGGGGAATATTTTGGGAGTCATTCTCCATCCTCCCTCGCCTGCATTTAACAGAGATCAGCTTCAGGCAAATCCAAGTGACCCATTTCAATATGGTACAAAAATGTTGCGAGTATTTGTTAGTTGTGAAAGGTAATCCAAAACAAATAGGTGAACAGTTAGACCATAAGATAAATGTTGCTTACTGTTTGCCCTCAGACATCGATCACTAAATGAGTCACCTCATTTCATTTTGCATCTTAACATATTTCAAACAAGTATAACAGTTAGGCCATAAGCAAGAAAAACATGAATGGAAGCATTAGTGAGTGAAACCTTTCTCCCCACCCAAGACAATATATGTTCTTTAGTATCGTTTTGTGTTATTGAGACAGTGAATTGAATTTAACCTTTATGACAGAAGAAGTGAGGGCAATACGAGAATGGATAGGGTTGTGAAAGCAGGAGACAGTTATTGTTACCCAAGGGACAAGACCCTTATGAAGATGTATGGAACTTTATACTTTACTAATATGGGTTTATTTGAATAAAGCCCAGAAGAAGAAGAAGAAGAAGAAAAAACATGTAACAGACCCGAAAGAACAATACAAGCAGAAACTCACTTCGGTAAGCAAGCTTTGATAATAACAGGGCATGGTACATGCAGCTGACCACAATGAAAAGATATTTGTGTATTCTATACAGATGTTCGGACAAGAGGAAAGAGAGTGCAGCAATGTGGGGTGCATGGGACAAAGAGGGGTTAAGTTGAGTTAGGAGAACTTACACAACAACTACTGAAGCAAGTTGTGGAAGGTCCTCGCCAATGATGAACCTATCATGGATGTCATTCAGCCAAACAGATATTGCTGTACATGCACTGCCTACCGATAGCCTGTGAAAGACCCGTCACGTCAAATTCAAATCATCAGTGACATCAAGAAGGTGAAGATAGAGAAAGTGGGGAGGAACAAATGGTGTCATACCGGTGCACATCCACAGACCACACGAGTTTGCTTTTACGGAATATTTCAGGGAAGAGACCTCGCTTTGTTGCTTCCCTAAGTACTTTTGCAGCGCGTGCTTTCTGACCAAGCCACCAAAGTGCTTCTAGAAGTGTATTATAGAACCTCATCCCCAAACCACATCCTTCAGAGTTAAGTCTGTCAAACACATACTCCACCATTTGCCAGTTAGACTCGTCATCATATTCCCCTTTGATCAACTGACCAATCACTTGATGCACATTTGAGACCCTATGAGTAAGCATCTCATTGAGTAGGTCATAGGCTTCACTCCATCTGAAAACGAGTAGCAAAATTTATCAAAGTTGTGTTTGATACAGACGGAACTATAAGTGTCACTCCACAAGGATCACAAGATAGTTTCAGTGCAGAAGACTAGTAGTTCTGCAGTTTCAGTCTTCGAACTCACAAAATAGAATACAGCCATTCTATTTTCTTCATAACCAACAGGATAAACTGACAAACGACAGACACACCAGTTGCAATAAACCTGGTGTATACATAAACCACGGGTTGATAAGAAACACCAGAAGAGAATACAGCAGCTCAATTTTGTGTACTTTATATATTAAGGTTTTCTTTTCATGAGTGACTGCCGACCCAAACTTAGAGTTAGTTGGACATCATATCAGATGCCATTTTAGAATAAATTACAGCTAATGACAGCACTCTCATGCTATCAAACTACATTCTAAGCTTTTCGACAGCAAGCATGTTACTTCTGGCCAGTGCTGAGCCAAAAATGTTATATTTCTCAACGGAAAATACTGCAATTGAAGTTGGATTAAGATCGAAGAGTTCTTGAAGGACATTTATGATTTATCTCTTGGACTCCTTACACAGAGAGATCAGTGAAGGCAAACGATTTGCTACTGCCAATGGGCAAGTAAAATTAAGCTTTGCCACTCACAAATTATTTACATTCAAGATGTCTAACAAGATAAAAACAAAACGTTAGAAGTTTGCACATATGACTTTATTTTAGCAACCTTTGACCCGATACTGACCTGTCGCTTTTCGCATAAACAGCTAACATCATGCAGTAGCATATGACACTAGGGAGTATCCCTGATGCTTTAATCTCTTGGAACTGCTCCTCACTCTCATCAACTAGACCTGCGACACAATAAACGCTCATAACTTCCTCAAGAGTCTGCTCATCAGGATCAACCCTCGCCTTTTCCATCTCAACATAGGCTTTGATAGCTTCTTCAAACTTGCCCCCTTGCCTGTAACCTTCAATCAAACCATTGAAAGAGTCCCTGTTTCGCAAAATCCCAGCTTCACCCATTTTCCTCAAAATTACCTCCGATTCCTTGTACAACCCACCTCTTGCAAACATGCATATTAACGAATTGTAAGTCTCAAGCGTTGGGCTGATTTCTAACTCATTCATTGTATTGAATGCAACAAGAGCCTCCTCATACAATGCAGCTTGTCCGTAAGCTTCGATAACTCCTGTAAATGCCTTTGAACTTGGCACCATTCCCTTTTCATTCATATGAAGTAAAATCTTCTTCGCATCTTCGTAAAGCCCTCCTTTACCACATGCGAATATCAACCCCTCATACGTACCCATGTTTGCCTCCACATTTTCTTCCAACATATCACCAAATAATGTCACAACCTCCTTAAAGTAACCCCCTTTACCAAACACCTCTATAAGAATGTTATACGTAGCAGCATCAGGCTCTGTGCTACTTACTTTCATCTCCAAGAAAAGGTCTCTAACCTCGTCATACCTACCGTTTCTACCATATAAGTTTAGTAATATGCTATACGTTGAAGCATTGGGCATACATCCTGCCGCTTGCATCTGTCTAAACACTCCCATTGCGTCTTTTATATCTCCCGTTCTCGAGTATGCCTCCAACAAGGTATTATACGAAGAAATATCAGGCAAACTTCCACTGTATTCCATTTCCTTGAGCAATTCACTAACCTTCCCTAACCTATTCACTCTCTCAAAAGTCCCAACAAGGTACTTATAAGTTGTTACATCAGGCACCATTCCTCCCTCATTCATGGTCCTGAAGAGCATCTCAGCTTCATCCCCAAGACCCCTATGAGCGCAAGCGCTGAGCAAAGTATTATAAGTAACGATATCAGGTTGCACGCCTTCATGCCTCATTTCTGCAAACAAACCCAACAACCCTTCCCAGTCCAGACCACCTCTAGCACAAGAATTAATGACAGTGTTGTATGTCAAAATACTGGGAGGAATCTTCTCTTTCTTCATTCTCTCCAGTAGCTGCAGAGAAACCTCATAATGGCCGTGACGCCCGTACGAATTGATCAAAGCGGTGTAGGAAAAAACGCTGCGGGCCACGCCATGGCTAGGCATTTCGTCGAATATCTCAGTGCATTTCTCCAGAAGTCCTTCCCGGCCCAGCAAGCTAATCATAATGGTGTAAATATGTTCGTTGGGCTTGCACCAGATCTGGCGCTGCATGTACTTGAACAGCCGGAGAGACCTCTGCCAGTCCCCTCGCAGCGCGAACTCCTTGAACACCAGGGAGAAGTCGTTCAAGGAAAGCTTGTTCTTAAAGACTTCCAAGCACCGAGCTATGCTCCCGCGAGGCGGAAGGCTGCTGAGCTTGTTGATAAGAGTTTCGACATCGTAACTGTACTTACCTTTCTCGACGACGACGGAAGGATTGCCGAGAATGACTTCCCTGGGCTTGGCTCTTGGGTTCCGGTGGCCTTGGCACGTTCTCTGATCGTCGGTGAAAGAAAGCAGCCTTCGGTGAGCTGGGAAGCAAGGGAACGGACTTCGCCGGTGGCTAGGCTCGAGCCTGAGAAGCTCGCCGGAGATGGAAGGGGAATTGGGGATGAAAAGCGAGGGCGAGAGGGTCATTGTTGCGATTTAGACAGCATCAGCGCTATGGCTTCGTTTCTCGAAGACGGGGGATTTCTGAATTGTGGAAGATAAGGAGAGAACTGAGAGGAATTTTACCAGAAGAAGTCGGGATTTTCTCTGCAAGAAAATTTGAGGGGGAAAGCTGGAAGAGGGAAAATGGAATTTCTCCCAGCAAAAGATGGATAAGCGCACAACTTCTTGGATAAGTGGAAGAAAGGGTCGGGTTAGGCGGGTCGGAATTTTTTTGCTCGAATCGGGCTGGACCCTTGGTCGTTGTGCAATGCATATGCCCCGACCAAGGTTGTCAAACCGGTTTATGCCGGTGTGCCGGTTTTGTAAGTGGAATGGTCTGACCGTGGTACAACCAGTATTCATGCCGGTTGTGCCGGTTTTAATAAAATACACGAGGAAAATGGAAATCCTCAATTCCAAATAAATTAGTCATAAAAAAGCAATTAGAAGAATTATTTCACACAAAAATAATTTATAGCTAAGAATAGATAACTAATACTAAACAATTAGATGCTTAAAAATAAAATTTTATTCAATAAATTTTATTAATGTTTATAATGATTTGTGTAAAATTTAGTATTAGATATATAACATATAAGGTTGATAAAGACAACAAAATTGCTTTTATCCTACTGGTGTATAAGTTAAACTAAAATGAACAAAAGGTCCTTGGTTCAAATCCTATGGAAGATGTTTATTTTTTGATATAATATGGGTAACATTAAATTCCGGTTTCTGGTCTAACCGGCCGGAATTTCCGGATTTGACCGGCATTGACCGGATTTGACTACAGCTAAATACCGGCCCCTTTCCATCCGGTTTGCTGACCGGTACCGGTTGAACCCGGTTGAATCGGCCGGCATGAAACCGGTTTGACAACCATGGCCCCGATTGTTTTTCCCTTCGGGTTACACATTTGACCCGGTTATTAACTTACAAAACGACGATGCTGAACCCAAATTTGAGTATATTTTAGTTATTCAGATCGTTTCTCGATAGGTATGACAATCAAACCTATAATCGCGAGTACCCGACTGTTCTCGATCCAGTTAACGCGGGAAATCCCCACTTTGACTAGCTACGGGGTTGGTATGGGTAAAACCCGCAAAACATTTTATGGGTATAGGGCAATGTAGTCAAAAGCTAGTTTTAAAGCTTAAAAGCCTACGCTTTTACGCTTTGGAACCCCCAAATATTGTAGCTTTTGTTCAAAAAGCTTTTTGCACCAAAAGCCCAAGTAAAAGCCCTCAAGCCCAGTAAAAGCCTTAGAAGCTAGTTTTTTACCGCTTCTCTACGCTTTTGATATCCGAGTATGATGATCATATTTGGTCGTGTTTGGTTCAATTTTTTGGACAAAAGAGAAACATGATGCAGTTTTATTTGTTTTCTAGTTGGGTTATCCTTTCAGTATTTGCTTTTATGAATTTATCATCCATAAGTCACCGACACTTTTCCACATTCTCGTATTTTCTCTGCCTCCAAAACCACATATCACATCCAAAGTTCTGCTTCCAAAGATTTTCCTTAGATTCCCGCAACGTGCATCCAACTTCTTCTTAGTAGGCTCCCACTGCTACAATAACTTGGACATCTTATTCGATGCATCAACTTTCCCCATCCCTATAACTCATATCCCAACCCTATGACTATGTTGTCGTCAAAGCTCATCTCCTTCAGCCTCACATTTGCCACCACTTTCACTTATTATTAGTGGAGTTTGTCTATAACCCTTCTAGCTTCATCTTTTGTTGTTGGTTTCCTTTTCACATATTTTTTTCTAGAAAGCAAGAGGAAGATGGTGAATTCTTGTTTAAAGGCCTATTAATTTAGTTTATGTGTATGAGAGTAGTATGTTAAATATGAGCTAGTTCATCTCTCTGTTCATATTTTGCATAATACAAGTTATGGTTATAATATTTCTATTAAAATTATATGATATGCAAAAGCTTACGCTTTCACGCTTTGCTTTTGCGCTTCCGCTTCCGCTTTTACCCATCATTTCACTTTTACCTAGAAGCTAGACTTTGACTGCATTGGTATAGGGTATGTATGGTTTTAGCCTCCCCGTCCTATACCCATACCATAGTGAGAGTTACTCAATAAATAATTAGTAGAAATACAATTGTGGCCACCCAAATCAATCTTTTTCCTCAACTCTCCCTTCACCCTTTCACTTGTTCCTTCGTGAAGCAAGATTATGTTAGTTAGTTAGTTAGTTATTACTTAGGCCAAGTCCAATGCAAAACCCCAAATTTGGGGGCCTTGAACCCCAAATTTGGGGATTGAACCTCATTTTCCCTTCTTTTGCTCCAATGCAACAAACTCCATATTTGGGGTTCTTAATATTTCCAGTTTTTCCATTTATTTAAAAATGTACTTATCGAAACTTTAATATAATTTATTCATGTTAATTTTTGTATAGTTCGTCATCATTTTTAAATACAAATTTTTCGATAGAATTTTGTTAAATTTCGAGACCAAATTTTTTTTAGTGAAAAATTATGGACCTAATTTGGGTTTACACACAACACTTAAAAATGATAAAGCTTAATGAGTTGACATAATAATTCAAATGGTACAATTCATAGGTTACACACAACACTTGCTAATCATAAAGCTTAAATATTACACACAACACTTGCTAATCATAAAGTTTAAAAATAACACACAACACTTGAAATGATTAAAAAGAAACACATAACATGTCAATAATCACCCAGAAGGGAATAGTAATTCCCGTAATCTCCTCCACCTTCATCTCCTCCTCCATTTCCATCTCCACCTCCAGTTTGACTTGCGTTGGATGAATAGTCGGGAACAGAGTTGGGATCATCTTGATCATACCCTAGGAGCATGTTTTGATGATTTTTGTAAAACTTCCTCTTTCTTGGTGTCAACTTCGACAAGTCCTTTTCAATAAGATCAAGATTGTTCCGAAATAGTGTTGCTTCCCTCTCTTTTTCCTCAACTTCCCACTTTTCTTTGTCACGCTTTGATTTTTGTTCTTGGAATTCCATCCTTCTACGCTCATACTCAGTCCTCAAAGCATGCCTCTCCTTCAACTCACTTCCATACTCCAGCAATTGAGCAGTGTAGCTCTCTCATGACTCGACAACCCCCTTTCCTTTCTTCTTAGCTTCCTTTTGTTTGTCGCGTCCAACAGGGCGAGATATGACGAATGGTGGAGTTTCTTCGACGAACGGTGGAGTTTCTCCGATGAATGGTGGAGTTTCTTCGTCTCCTTCTGTGTTATTGAGGTCTGTCTGTGGTGTTGATTGATAACCAAGACCCATGGGAGAACCATCAGAACCTTGACTCATGCGGCTTTGATTTGAAGATGGCATTATTATCACGGTATGAAATTTTTGGCATCTTTTCAAGATCCACCAACAATGACCAAAATTCCACCCCTTTTCTCCGGTTTCGCTTAAATAGAGCTGTTCTGCCATATGCTCCTATACGTATAAATGAATGAGATGCAAAAAGAGTTAGAAGATAGAACACACGTACTAATGAACGAGGTAAAAAATAACAATGATGGTGACGGAGAATTCATACCACATCCATTTGATTCGTGCCACTTAGTTGATTCCTCTCTGCCCTTTGGATAGCTGAATTCCAACACTTGCAGTATTTGGTGATTGTGCCCATTCGATTAGCCATGCTTTTGATAGTACGAGATGTGTTTCGATCGTTCGATCAAAATTGCGTCGCCACTCTATCCCAGAACCTTGTATCCCTTTGATTGACACCCACAGCTCCATCTTCCGATATCATCACCCAAGAACTGCACAAGTTCTTATCTTCCTCCACTGTCCAGTTCCCTTTTCTCTTGCTTGTCATTGTTTGGTTTTTAGAGAGACAAAGATGATAGAAAGAATGAGGGGACTAACAGAAAATTTCAATAAGAATGAATGGTAGAGAGAGAGGAGAGGATTTCTGAATATATAGAGAATTTATGACCGTTAGGTTATATGATCGTTCGGATATAAACGTTAGGTAAGGTTGGTAGGTAGCACATGTTCGAATATGACCGTTAGGTAAGGTTGGTAGGTAGCACATGTTCGGATATGACCGTTAGGTAAGGTTGGTAGGTAGCACATGTTCGAATATGACCGTTAGGTAAGGTTGGTAGGTAGAACATGTTCGAATATAAATGCAAATCCCCCATTTACCATCAATTGTATACTTGTCTGAAACTTCCTCCAATTTCTAAAACAAACACATCCATCATGAGTTCCTCAGATTAATCATCGTCTGGAGGAGAACAAGAGATAGAAGAGTTGAATCTGTTTAACTATCATCGTTTGACTTTAATCGGGCGGAGGCTTGAGGAAGCTTCACGCTCACGTCGTCGTTCAACAAATCGCACCTACATTGATCATGAAAGGGTCTCAGGTCATGACCGTCTTATGCAGGATTACTTCAATCCAAATCCAACATACGATGCCCGCATATTCAGAAGGCGTTTTCGTATGCAACCACGACTATTCAGTCGCTTAATGGGTGACGTTGTGAGGTATGATCCCTCTTTTGCACGAAGGAGTGATGCCGTTGGTCACCTAGGCCTATCGCTGGAGCAAAAGCTTACTAGTGCACTGCGCATGCTAGCTTATGGATCTCCAGCTGATCAACTTGATGACTACATGCGTATGGGTAAGAGCACTGTGCTTGAAGTCTTCAGGAAGTTTTGCAGAGCCATTGTCGGTATGTACTCATCGACATATCTTCGTGCACCAACTCCTGCTGATCTAAGGATTCTAGTTCATAAAGCCTCACAACGCGGATTCCCTGGTATGATTGGATCAATTGATTGCATGCACTGGGAGTGGAGGAACTGTCCTACTTCTTGGACTGGGCAGTACCTGGGGCACAACCGTAAACCAACAATCATTCTCGAGGCAGTGGCTTCGTACAACACCTGGATATGGCATGCTTTCTTCGGCCTGCCTGGTTCGAATAACGACATCAATGTTCTGGGGATG